AAATAAATTATATTATTATTCTAATGCATTTAATTAAATGCGTTATTTTATTAAATATGAGCATAGTATAGAAATACGCCTGAATTAGGCAATACTACCAGTGCTCAGGTCCAAGCTGTCTACAGGGTGAATCAGACCACCCGTGCAAAACGGTTTGGCCCAACAAGCTTTTTTATTGAAAGTACGCCATTAAAAATCTTTTTAGTCGGTTACAATTTTAAAATAACTTCTTGATCAGCATTGTACGTGTTATTAAATTTACGGAAAGTAAATAAAGATACGTCTTATAACACTTAAAACATATATTTACGCTTATACTGTTACTCACAAGACGGTAAATATACAAAAGATGGCAAGTGGTGATCGATTTCGATTGGACACTCCAATCATCATCAGACCCAATAGGCGAAACAAGTCTAATGCAATAGGCGAGGATAAGCGTAAATATATGTTTTAAGTTTTATAAGACGTACCTTTATTTACTTTCCGTAATTTTAAAATGTCACTTTAGGAACTTTTCTTTCAATGTTGGGATCATTAAAAGTACAAATATATGTCCGAAAAGTAATTTTAAAAATAAAAAAAATGGTCGAAAACCATAGAACATTATACAAATTTTAGAAGTAGGGCATTTTTTAAAGGTGAAGGAGTGCGATTTTCTAAAAACTCCTTAGAGTGTCTTGTAGAAAATGTAATTCATGACTATGAAAATTCATTCAAATTATTAGCTCTTACCGTTTTCGAGCTATAGCCGTTTAAAAAAGTGTTTTTCTAAAAAAAGGGGATTTAAAGGCATTTTTTTGGGGGGGGGGTTGTAACTTGAAAATATAACTTTTTGGATTTTCTGGGTGTTTTGGGACCTCTACAACAAATAACAGATTCCTAGCTATTCTAAAAGTGGGTAAACATTTGATACTTGGTCAGTGAGTCAGTGAGTTACACAACCGGCTGTATATCCTGTTAAAGTATGTGCTCGAGTCGTCTGATGCACCCTGTATAATTGTTTAAATTTTATTACTTAAGGTTTACTATTGTATGTTTTGTAAGCTTGTTTGGTTGTTTTATGCCTTTAAAATTCTAACATTTTTTCCTAAGGGAACGTTCCGAACCGTGGTCTTGTTACTACGTAGTCCAATGAAAAAACGACCTGGGCCCAGAATCGTTCCCGCTTGAGCTTGAACTAGCAGCCAAAACATTTGAATGCAAGCATACATATTTATTCAAGAGTTACGAACAGAGAGTTAAATAACAGTATATATGTACATACAGTAAATGGTAGATAAAACGTGCAATGTTCTCCTTGGAAATCAATTAAGTACAGATGTGAATGAAACAGGTGGAAGATATCTCAGCTGTTAGTAACTAAGGGTCCATCACACCTTGACCGAGTGGCTCAATGCTGAGATCCTGAAACAAATTCACCGTTTAACAATGTGGGAAGCTAGCCACAATTACCGGTGAGGTGTCCGGCGAAGACCAACATTATTACCTTCCGCGGCTATAGTCGAGTTGTTCTAGCTTAGAGCCTTGCAAGCTAATCCTAGTTAGATGTGCGGGAGTTACATTGAAGCGAAATCTACTGTATTTTGTATCTTTTTAAATTATTACTACTAGTGATGCATTTATCATAACAGAAGTATGAGTTACGTAAACATATTTTAGGGTGACCTACATTATCAGTATATAAATCCTTAATAGAAGTGTGTATTTATTATCAATCATTTTAGCCTCTGGACTGCTTATATATTAATTGATATTATAAGGCCTTACCTTAGAAATCCTGTTTTTTGATCCGAAATTAATTTCGGGTCCGAAGGTCCATCATCAGTCGGAATCTAGTAGACCAATTTTTTCTAAAATAGAATCCACTCGTTGGGTTTCGTAGAAAGTTTCACAACATTTAAGACAATACAAGTCATAGTCAATGCGAAAAGAGTAAAACTATTACATTATAAAAACCATGGTTTTTAACCCTAATTGTAAGAGTAAAACTATTACATTATAAAAACCATGGTTTTTTACCCTAATTGTTTTACTCTTTTCGCATTGACTATGACTCGTATTGTCTTAAATGTTGTAAAACTTTCTACGAAACCCAACTGGTGGATTCTATTTTAGAAACATTTGGTCTAATAGATTCCGACTGATGATGGACCTTCGGGCCCGAAATTAATTTCGGATCAAAAAACAGGATTTCTAAGGTAAGGCCTTATAATATCAATTATTGTATTTATTAAATTTAGTTTAAAGTGGACACGTTTTTATGTTAATCAATGAAGAATTAGTCCTATCTTGGGGGGAAAATATACCTTCGATCTAAGTCAGGTGGGGTCAATAAATAAATAATTAAATTGCCTTGTTCTGTATTACAAAATGACCGGTTTTGAACATTTAAAACTGGCGCAACGGGATAGAGAGGCGCCGGCCTTAACGATCAGTAAATTTACTGTAAGGTTTTATTTCATGTATGGTGTTAAGTAAGGAAATATGTATGTAGAATAACATAGGGCCTTATTCTAAGTATGGGACCGGATTAATATATTAACTCGTAATATTAAATATTCAAATATCACGTCGGAATAAAAACCTAAACCTTAAAAGCTTTTCTTCCATTTAGAAACTTCTTCTCCTCCAATCTGAAAACGGATAGTGATTTAAATTATATTCTACCATACAAATGGCAATATTTAATTCCAAAATTAGTAGTTTGAAAATAAAACAATACAATTAAAAGGTTATTTTGTAATATAATAACGATTAATATAGTTGTGAAGTATGAAATAAGGAATAAACATACTGACTAATTTATTCAGTAAAATACTGTAGAGTCTGCTTCAGGCCAACGTCCATGTATTGATTTTGCTTTCACGAAGATTTAAATATTAGGCCGAAGGCAAATATATCGTTGTAGAGATACTTGACCCGTATACACTACGTGATATATCAAAATGACAGCAACGGCCTAATTTAGAAACGCCATAATTAAAATAATTAAAAGTCCCAAATACTTTGAGGCTCATCATAGTTTAATAGAGTTTCCAAGCTGATGGTTGTAGAATTGATGCTGAGATTCGATATCTGAGATACTGATATGTAGCATTTGCTCTCCATACGATTCAATAAAAACATAGTTTAAATAAAGGTTTTAAAAATGCCTTGTAATAAGGTTATACCATTATTGTAAAGTATGTTTTTAACATAGTGGATTTAGTTACTATGATGTAGTACGTGCCAGAAATTAAGTGGAGTTTTATCATGTAAAATCAGTTGATGTTAAACAATACTGAACTGTGAAAGAAATAGATCCAAATACAAGTGATCATTTCAATTTTTTTATATAATAATTTGAAACAGTATACTCTTATAGGGCTTACTGCAACTATGACAGGAATTAGCCTTGAAGTGTATCTTAAGCAATAACAGATACAGATTCGTTCATCTTTGTATGAACAAACAATCTCAATAGTGTTATATAATGGCTCAAAATGGATGGAATCATGATTCTATGGTAAATCTATAGTCGTCGAATTTTGGTTGTGATTTTTTTTATATTACTAGTGAACCCAGAACCCAAAATAACAACTAAATCGATTGGAGTGTATAATCGTTAGTATGAAAATAGATTAATCTCACACATGAAATCTAAGCTGCTACAATATATCAATACCATTTTATTTACATACTGTAGAACTTTTGGCATTGGTCACCAAATAAGTTTCTATAAATTGCAATTTAAAAACCAATATTGTGTATTTTCAGAAGACGGTCAAGTCCAAACCCATTTACCTCCCCCAGAAGAGGGTAAAGTATTGCAAGGAACTACAGTTGTATACCAGATCACGTAGAATGAACACATATTACCACAGTTGTTGCAATATTATTAAAGTGCTTTGTTGCAGTATAATCTGTAGTTTGTTTGCACAATAACGGTATGTTGTTTTATGAAACATTTATATTTTTGTTGTGTAACTGTAGGTTGATTTGTTTACACATTTTAGCATATTCAAAGTAGCACATTGGGTGTTATATTTCAGATTAGTTCTGATGTAGGTATTATTGGTTGTGCACTACCTAAATGCTTCAATCGTGTGAGATGTTTGGTAAAATCCAGGGCAAAGCAGCTGTGATTGGACCTCCTACGGGAACACCAGTGTCACTGACTGACGGAGATGGATTAACCTTTAACTCTCTATATTGTCGTGACTCGGGCTTTATATATATTGATGTTTCTTTTTCTAAAAGCCTATTTGATTAAAGAATGTACCGCCAAGATTTATAGTTTCAGTAAATTCGCTAGCACACAGTAAAATTATATTTCACTATAAAACAATATTTTTAAACAATATTGGAATAACAATTTTAAATCTTTTTCCTAAATGATTAGTTTTTTCATTGATGCATTTGATGAATCCTAATAATAAACCTGGGTAAACGTTAAACAATAGGAGTATCTGGGAACTGGCAGGTGTTCGGGTAATCCTTCTGTAATAGACGTGTATTATGTGGTTAGTTTCATCAGGGATTTGCTGATCCTGCAGCGAGAATAGACTTTAGGGACCTTGGATATGAGAATTGGCTTAGTAATTAGGTAATTATGTTTAGTGCATTATGTATATCAATATATTTAATTGGTTTCATTGAGTCTTAATTTTAAATAAAAATACAAAAAAATTAGTTTGCCCTTTGAAATCAGATTTACAGCTACATCTCTAAATACGTGAATGAATTGATTAGATCTGAGGAATTAGATCAAAGGGGTTGGAATATACGGGATCTCCTTGGTTGGGTCTAATTAGATTATACAGCATGGAGTGATTAGGAGAATCAAAGCTGTGGCGTGGTTTGTGATCTCCTTAGGTTCATTTGTCAGTTGCTCGTCTCCTGGAAGGTTTGGCTCATAACCTCGCCGTGTTATGCATCAACTCCCACGATTGACTCTAGGACCTACCAAGGGCCCTGCGGCTCTAGACGGTCTGTATAACCTCATCAGTGTGTTGCAGCATGTTTTCGACGGTTCGCCACTGGCCGCAAGCTAGCCGACCGCTACCTCAGACGGACCGTCCCTACAGCCTCTCTGAGACATTGCGAGGAGCTCTGCGCCCAGGAGGAGGCGTTCCTCTGCGAGGGGTTCAATTTCAGGTGATTGCATCTTTCTACTCTGTAGGATTACATAGTATTTGTAAGGAATACAATTGTAAAGCAACGGAAAAACTACTATATTATGAAATGGTAAGATGTGTTAATGGGATTCATAAAATATAACAGACGCTTCTGCAAAAAGAGGCCAACATGAAATATCACATGCTACGAAAAATATCTCGAGGCTAACAACACTGTGATTTCGCTATCGCCTGTTAGAAATACCAGCGTTCCACCTGATCAATTTAAATTTCCTCTGTTTCTTTCTTTACAAACCATATTATAGAATAGAAACTCTTTTATTCAATTGACTGCAGATAAAATAATAATAGTATACAAAGATGTGGATTAAACTATCTTTCACCTCAGGACAACAGCGTAAAAAGGAAACTCATTGTAAACCATTTCTTTCAATAGGACTCGGTAAATGAGTGTATCTTCAAACATCTAGTGAGAAAATTACGAAATGAGGGTAAGAAGGTCCCCCACATTTAAAAATCCTTTGGCATTACTGTAAAAATAACTAAGAGAAAATCATGAAAGTACAACCAGACGGGCTAAGTAATTGGCATTCCACTCCTCAAGTCATCTTTATGATCCAGAATTTCTCTGCACATTTCAGTTTCCTGCAAAAATGCAGATACATTTAATGGTCTTAACCCGTGGGATGTTTGTAGTCAGCTTGAGTTTAACATTCCCATTCGAGCAAATAACTCCGAACAACTTTTAACACTTAAATCTGCATATCAGACATTATGGCTCTGCAGTCTTGGCCACCAATTCACAAGTTCTTTTTGCAATACTTGAATGGACATCCTACATCTAAGACCTCTTAAATTTGTTGGGCAGTGTTGACATCCTACATTTATAGGTTTCGGAACCATCATTCTTCATACTGATCTTGGGCAGCATCCCAATATTTGGACATTTTCTTCAGACTCCATGGTTTTGCCAGTGTCGATGTCCTCGCCAGTCCCCGGTCATGGTTCGCTGGGTCTGAGGGGGACAGTCCTCTGTTCCGCCACGCTCACACATGACAGTTGCCCCATCATCCTCATCCTCTGGATCCTGATTGCATCCTCTTATATAACAAGTGTCACTCGCACCATGTCCTTCTTGTCTTACTGGTGACATGGACGCCTTTCCCCAACGCTTCCTATCGCAATAATCATCTTCGTCATGTAATTATTTTCCGGTGGAATTCTTTTCTTTTCGGTCCAGTTCAACTGTGGAAGTTTATCTATGAAATCAAGTGTGGATATTACGGAGGGTCGGGTAAGGACATGATGTATGCAGATCTCATCGATGTATTATACGGTTTTATGTTAAGGTTCTTCGAATTAGTCAACAAAAAATAACTAACTTATAAAATATAAACAGTTTCAGTAAGAGTTAAAAACTGTTCTGCGAAAGATGTAAACACTATGTGTGAATTCAGAATAATGTTTGGTGTTTGGTTTAATCAATTTATTCCAACAAACTATTTCCTGGAGAACTTTGTCAAAAGTCATATTTCTAGGTGTTCACTAAACGTACTTAATGTTAATGCCCTTCTATGTACCTCTGTATTTTTTATGTTGGTATCTATTCCATTTTAATGGCAAGGGGAAGACGTAGTTTCGTCTCGAAAATTATTTAAAATATGTTTAGTTTTTTTACAGTTTTTTATTTGTTTTTGCATAGCTCATGGTGAACAAGTCTTGATTAATTTTTAATGGTATTACTTTTTCACGGAATGGATGGATCAACATGTAATAAGTAGGGCAGCACTTTCAATTTTTTAGATTATCGTAAAAACACAAGTTGGATTATTAACAAACTACGCAGTAATACATCTGCATTAAACCATCTACAGATGTATGGTTATTTATGTCAACCAAAACGTAATCAGGTTAAAAACATCCCTAGAAATGACCAGTTCTATTATATTTTCACTTAACAGTACTTTTTTGAATTCACTCTGAGAAACAAGTTTGGAACAAATGTCAATTGTACAGTATTATAGGGCAGATAAATTGAATTAATTTACACATGCGTTATCCTCAAAACGAAAAAGCATACAAAGGCTGAACCGGAGTTACAAATTAAAAGAGAACAATCGGACCACTAAAAAAGAAAAGCAGTTTTTTATTAAACCAAACCAACCGCGTTTCTCATTAATCTCTTTTCTTTTTTGAGAGTGTTTTTATTACATCAGCGAAACATTTCATTAAGCAAACCTTTTTATCGTTTGTGATTGCTTTATTAACGAAACTTTGCTTAAAGTTATAACAAGGGGGTTTCTAACTAAATCCACTGAAATGTGACACCAAGGCTCTGGGGTACATTTTACATACATTTTATGAAAAAGAAAATATATTTATGGTATTCAATAATTTATTGGTCTTCAATTTTCCCAACAAATGCAACGGCACTTAAAGTGTTTTAGTTTCAGAGCGGAAGTAATTAAGACTAATCATATCTGAAGTATATTGTCTTAAAACGCACAGTCTGTAAACTTAGCACTTTTCACCTTCCAAGTTTTAATTCCATCTCCCTCCGGTTTTATGAGTTTTATTCAACCCTAAGTCACGGTGATTAATTGCTGTTGAGTCTCAAAAAGTACCTAGACTATGAAATAACGTTTATGATTTTATGAACACATATTAAGGATAAATACCCCCGCCGCAGCAAACCTGCAGACTAAGCGAATTTCCATTTGACTGATTGGATTTACACTGAAATGTCTACTTAAAAATATAACATTTATTCCCGATTTAAATAGAATTAGTTTAACAAGTACTTAGGTTTGCTGCATCAGGGAGGGTAAAACTTTTTTTGTAAAATGTTAATAGTTAGTAAGAAATAAAAACATTTTCCAAATTTGATCAAAATATGTTCATAAACAAGCAAACTACAACAGTTTACTTATTCTCCATAAGAATAACATAGGAATTTTAAATTTACGATTTTTTGGAATTTTCTCCGTAACCATTAGGCGCATAATAACGTTTCAATATACTAAATTATTTTTAAGCTCTACAAAATGGTTTGGAAAGAAATTGCTAAATTTTATATTTTTTGGGTCAAAAATGGGAAAAACCTATTTTTACCCCATAAAACCCCCCGTAAACCCCCGTTCCCATGGTCCGATCATGCTGGATCGCGAACTCGTTCGAATAAACGTAGGTTTACACGTTTGTACCAAATTTCATCAAAATCAGATCATTTTTGCTCGAGTTATCGTGCTAAAGGACACATATATAAATATATATATATATATATATATATATATATATATATATATATATGAATTTGAACGGATGGTGTTTTTGGCCTCTAGGGACCTCAAAACAAACAAAAAAATCGGTCCCGCGTCCAGGTTTTACCATGAGTACTACGGTAATAGCTTATTCCCTATATGGGAAATTCGCTAAAATCTTAATATTCTTAAATAACAGATTTTGAGAATTTATTTATTTGTCAATTTCTAAATTACGCACTCTTTGTATTATTTCTTATAATGTTTAGATTATTAATACACTGGAAAATTTATTTTAATTGCATATGTTTCAAAGTAACTAAATCGCCCAATATTTGTATTCACAGATCCAACAGCTGAGCAATTGTTGCGTAGTTAAATCTTTTCGTCAATAGGTTTCAGGTTTCGAATAAAAATATTGAATTAAACATTTAGGAAACATTTAGCTTAACATATAATTGAACTAGAAAGCGAGTTGAATTCTCATACATTACCTTCTTTAGTAAAAACACATACAGTAAAAGTTTGTCCGCACAATAGCTAAACTTATTTCTTTCATATGTCTTTAATTTCGTAAAAATATTTTCAGATATTAAACCTGTACTAAGTTCGTACATCTTGTAATGAAAAATGTAATTGTAAACGATAATAGCCACGACAACTCAATGGGAATACGGACAAAGTTTAATTGATGGAAACAATGCCCTTCGGGAAACCCAGCGGACGAAGTCAGCTAATTTTAAATCTAGTGTCTTCTACTCCAGTTGATCCTTTTTGCCATAGCGATAAAATGAACTACCCTAACCACGCAAAATATATATTGAAAGCAACCTTTTCGCTTCAGTACAAGGAAAAAGTGCTATATAACATTTGTAAGCCAATAGATCGTTTACATGTACACGTCACGTACCATTTGATAACGTAAAGGCATACAGTGAATTTCACTTCACACAGTATATAAATACTCCTTTTCTTCGTTGTATACTACAAGTTTTAAATAAAATACAATACTCCATGCTGGCCAATCACAACATTTTAACAAACAAAATGAAAGTTTGGGCCCCTAAACCATGTGTCTTAGGGGCCCACAAACAAAACGTAAACTTAGAATGAAACATAAAACCACAAACACTGACCAATAAAACCTTACACAGCCAATTATCACCAATATATTGCAATGTCTAGTCCACTTAAATTAAGAATCTATATAATTAATACGCTACATGAAACTTTGTCGGTTGAACTCCTACGCCATTTCTTAACCGATTTTATCCATTGACGTCTTATTGGAAAGAGCGTGTCACGTAGATTTGCAAACTGGCCATACATTTTTTTTAAAGTCCCTTGGGCTCTGCCCCAGTGGCTTTGAAAGTTCCCATGTTATCCTTATGAAGAACATAATTGTTTACATTTTGATCAGCTGTATAATTTAATTGCTGTTATTTATTTTTCAATTCAATGAAACGCATTGAGTACATTTATTTACTATTTGAGTTTGTGTAAACATAACCTCCAAGACGGATCGTGTTAGTATGGTTGTATCTTAAATTTTGTATTTATCGCTGTTTTGTGTCGCTATGACAGATCGTGTAAGTATGATTGTAACTTAAATTTGAGTATTTATCGTTGTTTTGTGTCGCTATGACAGATTGTGTTAGTATGATTGTAACTTAAATTTGTGTATTTATCGTTGTTTTGTGTCGCTATGACAGATCGTGTTAGTATGATTGTAACTTAAATTTGTGTATTTATCGCTGTTTTGTGTCGCTATGACAGATCGTGTTAGTATGATTGTAACTTAAATTTGTGTATTTATCGTTGTTTTGTGTCGCTATGACAGATCGTTTTAGTATGATTGTAACTTAAATTTGTGTATTTATCGTTGTTTTGTGTCGCTATGACAGATCGTGTTTTAGCATGATTGTAACTTAAATTTGTGAATTTATCGTTGTTTTGTGTAGCTATAATTTGTTTATTTGTTGTTTTTTTCTTTTAAATGCCTCCGACGCTATGACAACGAAACATAGACAGGAGGCGTAATCGTGTAACGACCGCAGCTACAGAACAGTGACGCGTAATAGGCTCAACTATTAGGTTAAAAATGCGCCCTAACACTACCCCAAAACAACTTTCCGTTCTCAATTGGCCCTCTATCAATGACCTGTGTTGCCTGTACAGCGAGGCATTTTGAGAAGGAGAAAACCGACCGGAATGCTTTAGGTTTATCAATAACGAAGATAAACATGGTCTGAGTTACACACCGGTAATCTTTGAGTTGACTCTTTTAAATTCATTGTAAATATGACTGTTATTCGTTTTGAAATAACTCCTGTAATACTTTGCAATTGCTCGAATTCGAGCAACATGTACACTAGTAGTTAACTATTTTACATTGAAAAAATGAGTCAAATAACAGTTATAAGCAATTCTAAATAAAAATGAAATATCGTAGGACTACACCTTGAATTATTGAACAAACCACTAATTCCATTTAATAAAGTAAAAACCATGAACAGTGAACAAGGTGATATAAGAAATCCTAGAATACAACGCTTTATCAATAAGGACATAAATAAATAAAACTCGTATAAACCTAAACACCTTTACACTATTACCCATAACTCTAATTTTAACACTACCCAACTACAGGCACATATCTTCGATGTCTCTAGTATTCATTAGCCAAATCCTTCATTTCAGTACAAATTTATTATGGCGTTGAATAATTCTCAACTAATTTAGTAGCCTGTGACATGAGCAATAACATGTGAATATACGTTAACAATTAGAAAATATGTTTGAGTAAAACATTTGAATTTTTTAGCCCAGCTTTGAAGTTTCCCCTATTATTTAGAGCTATCAATTCACTACCTAATAATTTTGAAACTTTAAAACAATAAAATTGATCTTAAAGGTAGTAGATTGAGCTCTTGGAAACATAGATATGATGCATCAAATCACCCCTGATACAAATTACTAAAACGAATGTTTTTTTGCGGAGTTATTAGAGACTTAAAGTTTGTCAAATAGGTGACACCCCAGAATATTCCTTATTCAAGTCCACTATGAACAAAAACAAAAAATAAATATCCTCAAACTTAAAATGGGAAAATGTTTCTAAGGAAAAAAATTAAATACTGGATATTATACCTATCTATCTTGCAACTTTCCATGTGAAGTTTTCAATTACGTTCTCTTTCCAATGTCTAAACTACTTCGTAACGTCGTTTTTTATTATTACAGAACAATTGACATGTGTTGACTAATGATATACATTTATCGCAATTATAATACAAATCCTCTGTACAATTGACTACTTGCCTCAAATTATTTTTGCAGAAGAATCACTTTATCGCATTTAAATCTTGTCTCGTTTGCTTCAGGATTGCTATCTACAAACTTTCGGTGAAGGAAAGTGCAGTGCTATCTGCGAAGGCAGTTTGTTCCATTGAAGTGACCATTACAAAAGTCGTTAGTAAAAATAATGATCAGAATCTTCCTCAGCTACGACCCCTATGGAAAACCTCACTCTATTTTCCCATAGAAATCAAAATCCCATTAATTTTGAAATCACGTGCCTTTCATTTAAGTAACTACAAAACCAATTCTGGGCAACTCTTTTAATTCCACAATTGTGTAACTTGTTCAATAAAATTTCATTGAAACTGTATAGACTTTTTTATCTAGAAAAAGACCTGTTGTACATTTGCCATTGTTGATTCCTTTATATATTTATGTTGGCATTCAGGTTCGACGGGACCGGGCGAGGTCGAAGCAGTTGCCAATTGACCTCTGTGCCCTCTGACCATCTGGACCCAACGATGGACTTCAACGCTGACCGAGACTACGACTTCTTCGAGCGCGACAGGAACGCTCCGAAGTCTTGCACTCGCCCATGGAGTGGACTCCGCCCGTGGACTCAATACGGCTCGCAACGCTTACATGGGGTTATGGGGGGCTATGGGGGCTATGGTGTTGGGGGCTATAGCATGCGCCATCCATCCAGCGATGGTCAGTATACTCTCGCCAAGTATTGTAAAGTAGATGTAAGTAGACTAAGTAGACGCTGGTCGGCTTGTAGCTCACCCACTGTAGCGGGCTGTGCATAATGTATAATGTATCTACCGATAACCCAGTAATAAGCGTAGACATTAGCCATAAGTGTATAGTTTTTGTAGTGTATTAGGAGTGACTCTTTTTAAATTAAATTTTTGTCAACATTGTGATTATTTGTTGTTAGTATTTAAAACTGATATTTATTTAATATTTTTAATTTTAGAAATTTGCTCCTCTCACTTAAAAACCTTTAAGTGATGTAAGTATGGAATTATGAAGGAAATTGTACATAGCGTACATGAAGGAAATCTTTTTAGACGCGTAAAATTGTCCTTCCTTGTATAAATTTGTTTATTTATTTAGGTACTATTTTTTAATTAAATAAACCTCAATAATAGAATCCGGATTAATAGCCCACCTCAAAAGTTGTTCAGTGATCTTTCTCATTGATTTCCACTGTAAGAAGGGAAATACACTAACTTTCACTCAGTTTGGTTGTTAAGTTAAATTTCCATTCATAACCCTAATTATATATATTCCTTCCAAGTGAAAAATTACCTTTAGATTTTAAATTATATGACTACATGGCATTCAAAGTTAAACAAAGTACTTATTACTTTATATTTTGATTAACAGCAAAGATTTTGCTATGCATAATAAATAGTTAGTTATGTTTCAGAGATAAAATATATAGTGCAATAAATAACTCTAAACAAGAATTTAGTAAACTTTTGGTAATACATAAAGTGTATAGTATAAAATTAAATCAATTCCTGAAATAGGATAATCATCTGCATAAACCACTTTAAAAGTTTTTTTAACGGTTTCATTTAATGATTTACAACAACCACAACCTAAAAGAAAATTAATTTTTAAAAGATGCACAAAAAAGTGGTTTTTAATTTTATATATACATTGAGATATTATACGTGTTGTAAATCGACAACTAAAATCTACAGACGTTACCGATAAGAACATGCAGATGCAATATCGACATTTTAAAATATAACGTTACCCATAAAATTTGCATCATAAACTCGATAGGAAGACGGGAATATTCAAACAGTTCCGTTGGATTCACAGAGAATAAATAACGCTGGTGAGATTACTTCGTTTCTCAGTGGCAATACGTCTTATATCAGGGGCTCAAATAATGTTAATACATAAATTCTCAAAACTTCTTAATATTTAGTGCGTTATCAAATGAATTACTTGGGCCAAAGTTAACATATGTTTTGATATGGAAAACATTCCTCTTTTCAAGAAGAGGACCGTAATTCTTTATATTATTATGAGGCAGTTAGGTTAGGTTATGTTAGTTTATTTAGAATAACAAAAAAAAAACAAAAGTAATTATCACGTGTGATTTGATTAAATGGGAAAATATGCATAGACATTGTATTTGTGTCCTCTATTTTATTTGTTTATAAAAAGCAAACTTTGTAAAATTGTTAAATTTTTTATCATCATAAACCAAAATAAGCAAAAATATTCTAGCCTAACCTAACTGCCATAGCACTGTAATGAAAGGCGGCCCTCTTCCGGAAAATACCTGAAAACGCTACCAATTAACCGTTTTCAGTTGTATAACAGTTTCCTCCGTTAGGAATAGGCATTAATAACCTCTCTGACAGAGGCTGACCGACGCCCGTGCACGGATGTGTGAAAATCTAGGGAAAGATCTGCGAGCCATTGTGTGGTAAGGAGCGGCCTACCGTTGCGTTAGGTGGCGGCCGGTCACCGGTCACCGTACCTTGCATATCTCGCACATTCTCTTCGGCCAAACTTACTTCTATCTTGGATCGAACTTAACGTAGCGGTGTCATGCTCTGTCAATTGTAACGTTGTGAAGTAGAAATAATAATCCAACTTTGTCAAATAGATCGGTTCCTTTTCGCTATTAAAATAAATGTTTATCATGATTAAATAAACCAAAAATTATCAGTGACATTTAGTCTTATGTCAACTCAATGAATCAATTTTGATAGCATTTTAACCCTTCTAATTCAGTGTTGAAAAAACGGCTGATGTTTTCTGTGAGTGTCTCCGTTTCAAAATCAAAGGAACCGTTTTCTGTAGCACTGTAATCAATCGTTGGTACGAATAGTAATATATGTTGATATTGACTAAATGAGTTTTTATTACCTGTCATGCAGTTCCAAAAGTAACAATTATGTTACATGTTTCGGCGAGATGCCATCGTCAAACACTTCAGTACAAGGGACATTGAATCCGAGTGATTAGCTTAGTTTTTTTTTTTTTTTACTAAGCTAATCAAGCAGGTTGAGTACATTTATTCCCTGGACTGAAGTGTCTGACAATGGCATCTCGCCGAAACATGTAATATAATCGTTACTTTTGGAACTGCATGACAGGTAAAAAAAAACATTTAGTCATTACTGCAGTTTCAGGATTATCACAATGAAATATAGTTCATGTAATTTTAAAATGTTAAATAATGTTTCTTTTTAATATAACATGAATACTTTGAGCAGAGCAGATAGAAATAAACCATGTTCGTAACCTATCTTTCCAACTTAGAGATAAATTAATGTTTTTGGTGACCACTTTTAATGTAAAAGATAATCCTTTTTACGTTTGCCCTTAACACATTGAGTAAGACAAATATAAACTAGATAATACAAAAGCGTAAACTAAAGAAATCGTAGGAAAACAAACTTATAACAATGAAACCCCCTCATAAACCAAATTGGATTAAGAAATTAATAAATATTCTGATAAATCTTAACCATGTTAAACATTAGGTGAAAATTTTGCTATCGATCATAAAAAATTGATAAAACAACCACTGAAATGGGTTATTAAAATGCGATTAGTATCAATCAAAAATCGGCGTAGTAACTCAAATAACCTGATCCCCCTAAACCGTTAATTTACATTAGTTACGCTTTTAACCAAAACATATAATATCTTTGATCCTTATGCCAAACATGAACAGTATACATATCTCGGTGAACACGTTTAGAGGTGTATAGCGATGTATAAGGTGTACAGTATACATTTTTGTGGTGTATGATGTGTAGAATGTTTCGTGAGGATGAGGCCAGGGTTTCGTCTAGAGAGGTCCATCGTGGTCCTGACAGTATCAGCTCCCACCCTCTACCATTGCGAGACTGAGTGTGCCAATGAGAAGAACTTCGTCTGCAACATCTTCAGCTATCGGTTTGTATTACTGTCAGTTGATGTTGTCGAGAATACTATTTGAAATTCTTGAATACTTTTGAGGATCAAATAGGACCCAAACAACTTTGATCCTTAACGATTTGTACACACCTCACTTTATTGTCTAATCAAATGCCCAATGCAAATTATGTTTTCATAATTGGTAATTTATTTTCGATCTTTAATTACTTCTTTAATTACTGTTGATGCAAATCTTTAGATTCTATCGTTTGACTTATGTTAAAGCGTGTGTAGCGTAAAATACATGATGTCCGACAATATAACAGCAGGAATAGTTAGTACATGAAACTAGTACCAATTGTGACCAAGTTATATGAAGAGTGCGTTCTGAGAGTCTAATATCATGAGCATCTTCTGTTATTTTTATATTCAAACAGTATTTGTTGTATTTTTATTTTGGCTTTCAAATGCCGTTAAATCAATAATAGTAGATAAAAGATGAATATTGGACCCATCTCAGCCATGATACATATTTATATTTTGCAACACGTTATGACTTATGGCCCTAATAAGAACATCTTAGTTCAATAATACTCGTAGACGTCTATCCTGTTTACAAATCCGAATTGTAAATTAAACACGGCTATTCCAGTATATTTTACTCGTAAGTGACATTTGGTTCCTCTTAATAAAATGTGATTTCAAACAATATGTTACCATTGCTGCCATTAAATCTGCATTAAACTGTTTTGACCTGATCTGGTATTGGCCATCTTCCGCCATTATTAGTAAAAAATACCCCCGCCGCAGCAAACCTGCCGACTAAGCGAATTTCCATTTGTCTGAATTGATTTTCAGTTAAATATATTTTAATAACATTAGGTTTAACGAGTACCTAGGTTTGCTGCTTCAAGGAAACTAATAAAGTGTGTTTTTGAGTAAAATATTGATAGCTTAGTACAAAATAAATAAATTTGCCAAGTTTGATCAAAATATATTCATAAACAAGCAAACTACAACATTTGACAATATTCTCCATAAGAATAACATGGGAATTTAAAATTTAAAATTTTTTTAATTTTCTCCGTTACTAATAATTGAACAAAAATACTTTTATATACTAAATTTTTTGTTTTTTTAAGCTCTTTAAAAAGGCCTAAAGAGAAATTGGGAAATTTTGTGTTTTGAGGGTCAAAAGTGAGAAAAACCAATTTTTACCCCATAAAACCCCCCGTAAAGCCCCCTTCCCATGGTCCGATCGTGCTGGTTCGCGAACTCATTCAAGTTTATCCCGCTTTACACCTTTAAACCAAATTTCATCAAAATCGGACAAAAATTACTCAAGTTATCGCGTTCACGGACGTATATATATATATATATATATATATATGTCTATATATATATATATACATATATAAAAATTTGAACGAATAGTGTTTTTGGCCTCTGGGGACATCAAAATGAAAAAGTAAATCGGTCCCGGGTCTAGGTCTTACCGTGCCACCTACGGTAATAGCTACTTCCCTATAGGGAAATTCGCTAAAAACTAAGTTTTTACGTCATTTTTGGATCTGATTCATCTTGCACAGACGGCCACTGTGTCATACACTCTATTCGCACTAATTATTAAATAACAATTTAAATTAAAATAATCATGTTTCACCTTATGTCAGCTACAGCCAACGTCCTCTATCAATATTACGAATTGCCTAATTATTGTCAAATTGTTTCGTGTCCGTGTTCCCGTAAGTGTTTGCGAAGACCCATCATAACCCAAGGAATAAGGTGGATCTGTTCCACTACTTGATATTAAGTTTAAAAATTAACTTTTACGTTCGAAAAATTGGTCACCTGACGAATCCCAGATAATTCGGCAGCAAAAAAAGTATTTAGCCTTTCAATCTGTATGAATGTGATCCAGAGGCTAAAAGGTTTGATGCTAATTATAGTTAGCTTTTAACGTTTTGTTTCTGGTTTATACGACTGTAACTATCTCTGTGTGGTTCCTGTAAAGTCCCCTTAGTGAACACCCAGGTTTGTGTACTCATCTTGTTATTAACCTTGTTATACACCTTTTTATATAGGCATTCTCTCACATGAGAACAGGATCAGACTTCAGATCCCAATCGTCTTAAAATCCTTTATTTTAAATAGTCGTGATGTAAAAAAAATCCTCAATAATAGCATAAAATTACCATCACCAAAAATGGACTTCAACCAGGGGGTGGTCTTTATTGTTGCCGAACGTACAGTGTTGGTTGGTGGAATTGTACCCCACCCAGGGTAGTGACGTCAGGATGACATCTCGTTTTGTCGACATATGTAGTTTTGTACGGGTTGGAATTTTACCTTATTATAAAACCTTTGTTAAGGTATACACGAATGGCTTAACCATCGTCATAAAAAAAGAAAAAAAAACTGGACGGGCCAAAATGTTACTCCCCTGGAATTGTACCCCTCATCTGACTTAGGCTACTGATGCACAGAAATTGGCAGCAAGACCCATATGTATGCCGAAGGGAAGGTTTATTTTCTACTCTCGTTCTTAACCTCCCTTATGGATCCGTACTCAGGGCTTCTCACGGCGTCGCATATATGGGACGCTCTGTAGTGAACGTGTTAAAGCAATCTGTAGAGGCTTAAAGGTCGCGCCAATCTTTAACACCTTAGAGGGTATTCGAAACTACTTCATTGTAATGTAGTACAACAGTCCATTCAAGTTATGTTTAGGCTACTTAGTTGTAATGTAGTGTTCATGTATTGTTGTTTTGTAGCAAATAAGTTTATCGACAAAAAATTGAAAATGTTACTTTCAGGGAGGTATGATTCCAGTCCGTGCTCATTGGTTTTCTTATATGAGGTAAAACGTTTCAGGGCGTATAATCCCATTCTGTACATACGAATACAAAGATTGATGTTGGCAGGGCTTACAAATCCAGGTGCTACAATTCCGGGCCGCATAGGGCTCCTTTTAGTTTAAAATAATCCGGTTCACTGACATTTTGTCAACATTAAATATATTCCGTTATAAGACTAGCAGGGATTATAGTACAATTGTTCAACCCCATGCGTGACGTCAAAATGGGAGTACAATTTCAAGGGGGTATAATTCCGGCAACCGCCGTGTTATCCTAGTGTGTAATGTCCCACCCACAGGTACAGCCAAGGGCCGAGCCTGCCAGGGGACAACTGCCAGCTAGGCGAGCGTCTCTTCAGAGCTCTCGACCTGTACACGGACATCGTGCCTGACCGGGACTTTGACATCTACGCCAGAAACGAGTACGGCCGTCAAGGGTGCCGTCCCCAGCGTCCCTTCGGCAGCGGTATATACCAAGCTATCAGGAAATATTTTATAACATTCTCAAATGATTTTGGAAATCGAATAAGATTTATTTTTTTGTTATTTTCTACTTCACTAAAATTGTGTAAGAACAAATCGCCAAAAGGTTTTAAAGTAAATCGGTCTACACCTTTTAAATATTTATAGATGTAATGGGAATTGAACCCGCACCACTTGTACTGAAGTCTGAGCAACTAACAGCTAGACTGTCCACACACTCCTTTAAGCTAGCTCTCAAAGCTTAATCAATGGGGGCATTACCTCCTTCTTACTCCTTTAGTTTATAAAAAAAAACGAAACATGATATTTGTTTTTAAAATATTATCTGATTGTAATTTCAATGTTTGTACTAAATTTTATACAATTTGGAGCCAACAAATTTTACTTTAAGAGACCATTTTTTTATTGGAGTTTTATAGCTATAAATGCAGACTACTTTAATAAGCAACCTTAAAACACGGGTTTGGCATAGATGAACTAGTTGGAAACTATGTTTGAAAATAAATCCCACAAAGAGAAGCTTTAATGTTATAAATATATGTGTACAAATATATGTCGATATGTTTATAATGATGTTTCTACAGTATTTATTTTTTTCAGGAGTTGGACTACAATTGAATTGATTTTCAATACCTTACAATTCAACTCATATAAGTGATTACAAAGTGTAATGAATTTGTTCTAGGTTTCATCAAATTATTTCCACTTTAAGTTTCTTGTTGAAATAAAACTTATTATGTTCTAATCTACTTATAACACATTATCGTTGTTCTCATTCTAAAAGTCTAAATACACACATCATGTACCAAAAACTGTATTTTGATAGTTGGCGATGATCAATTATTAAACATGGCAAATAAGCCAACATTAGTCTATAGACTTAAGCACCATGCACTGCACTGTGCACAGCATGATTTATTTAGAAACTGTGATATTCAATATAATTTTTTTTTATTTTACTACCTATTTCTAAATAATTACTATTACGTTTTTCCTTGATAATACCTGTGACCCTACATGTATACTCTCAATTTTCTACACGCTCTAAAGTTTTGAAATATTTAATAACCCCTGTTGCGGATTATGAAGTAGATTTTGTATTTAGATGTCTCGAAAATCTTATATTGTTGTATGAAAATGTCTCTCTTTATTTATATTGGAAAATGAAGTTCTACTAAGTCAACAAAGAATATTTGCGTATGCACACACATGAATGTCCAGACGGTTGCAATGGACATTGGGCGTAGTTAAAGCTTCTTGAATTAAAATCCAACAATGTATTCACTGTTTGAACTTCTTTTTATGGTTATTTTATTCATGCGAGAAAAAACAGAATTGCCCTATTTTGAGCATACTTTCCTATTTACCGTTTTTATTTATTTCAGATTGCTTTGAACGGATAAGGAGTGGCCTGGGCCTACATTCTGGTATGACTAGACTTGCTGTGAGAGTCAACTCACTACAGGAGTGTGAACAAGCTTGCCTCATGTCCAGGTTCTTCACCTGCCGAGCCTTCAGTTTTAGGTAAACTTTCCTTAGATGAGGTCTAAATCTACTAAATGGAATTAAATGTGATAAAAATAATAACCTATTTACAGCTACTGAATACTGAACAGCTATGTGTAAGATTTACAATTATTTCCTGGCTCACAATATTTAAACATAGATGGTAGGATTTGTTAGGAATGTGACCGGGCGCGTCTAGAGCTAGCTAGAATTCCCATTGCAACTTTTTTAAACGTAATTGGTACTTCGGTGGGTAACCTTTAACTTTTATCACGAGAGGTAAAGTGCTATTTGTTAGCACTAGTCACATAGTCGACTTTTACTAATCACAATATAACATTGACATTGGTTAACTTATATTATAATTCCACTAAGAGACTAAAGTATGTCTTTGGGATTTGTGTCGTAAGATGGACCGTTTTATAAGAAGTAAGTTTAATAATTGACCTAAAGAGTAGATACATGACAAAATGTGATAAATTGATGATTACTTTTATTACTTATTGTCCATAAAAAACATTTAGTAAATATCCCTTTTAACTTAAACATGCTATAAATAGCACATTAAACCTCCTAAGGACACAGTCTGGATTCCTTAAGAGGTTTACCATATATCAGGACAAGGGAGGATAAATATTCATTGCCCTCTCTGCCTTTAAATTACATCTTCAAAACCATAATAAGTGATTGAATTAAATATGTGATAATAGATTTTTGATTTATTTTTTATGAGTGTTAATTCCCAAAGGTGAAAATGTGAATTTCGCAATGTACAACATTAAAAATTGTTTTTCTTAGAAGAAATATTGATTTTAAGAAATATTTTGACACAATAGTAAAAATTGAATTAAAATAAATCAGTCTTATGTTCTATTTCTTGTGAGCAAATAAGAAAATGGGTCTTATTAGTACGAATGTTAAACAAATTTGAAATCAGAATATTTAAATATTTTCTTACACTGCACTCAACCTTAAACATTCATGATATTACTACAAATATCTGCTGTAAAAAAATAAATTAAATTATTATGTTATACCTGAAAGCAACATTACAACTCAATGAATAGTAAAAAATGGCAAAATTATGTATGTGAAAAATTATTTTGGAACCCCAGTTATTAGATAAGAAAATTTTCAAAGAGACAATGAATCCAATCGTGTTAAGTTGTAAGCGAATTGTTGCAGGTACAGTACTCCAGTTATAGGCCAAGCGCAGGAGAACTGCAGACTGACAGACTGGCCTGTGCCCGAGATGAACCCTATGAAGCACCTGGTGGACGAGGCAGGGTGCGAGTTGTACCACAGGGCGAGCTACGGCCACGGTTGTGAGTTGGACCGATGGCCTCAGGTACAGGGAAGGCCCCAGAGTATACCCCCGGTCTACCGTCCCAACAAGTACCCCAGTTACGGCACCGCCCCTGGCAACTCCCTGTACTACGGTGACCACTCCGGACCCAGTGGCGGAGGGAAGGTGTCTACGTCGTCCCAGGCGTGGTATGGGGGCAGGCCTACTGGAGTGTCTGGTACCGGAGCTGGGGTATACCTTCCACCCTCCGCATATGGAGACACCTCAGGAATGACCTCTAGGCCGCTTGATGACTGTAAGTTTTATATATGTGAATATTTTTTAATGACGTTTTGATATGTTTGAGAATGAAATTACATGGAACAATTTCAGAAACTATCCAAGGTATAAAATGGGACTAAGTAAAAGTATTATTTGGGAATTGTATAATTTAAATGGTTTTAAGCCTTTGTACTTAGAAACAGGACAATTAATATTATTTTTAAATAGTTTTTTGTCACGAATATTTTGGGAAGTATGACATATTCTGGCGCTACTCAATAACACTGTTAGGGATTAAGGTAAAACCAGAAACAGAGAGAATATAAATTCAAAGTACTTTGAATGAAGGCAGATGGCTTCAAACAAATTCTACCTTCAATGTCGCAAAAATGTGTTCTATGAGAACAACATGTTCATTTCAAATTTTAAGGCTGGATGAATTACTTGAAAAGCTTCTGGAATACACTTTAATTCGAGTAACGTGCTTTGTTAGGCAGAATTTTGAATGTTAAACAACGCTTTTACTAAAAGTGAAAGTAATCATCTGAAAACACTTAGCGAATTATTCAAAGCCTTTCATCAGTGGGAGGTCATTAAAATTCACTTTGAACGCGGCAGGTTAATTGTAGTTGTTTTATCTCATCCCTTCTGAAATTCGATTATAAATATTTATGGCTTTGGTTAGCTTTATGTAATGAAATCTTTCTAGAAGAGAATCAACTTTACAACAAGAGATGACAATTTTCAATTTTAGCATTTAATGAAATCCCTTTATACTTTTGATTTGTGACATTAAGGATATCACGAAGGTGATACGGATCCTTGGTTTTCATATCATTCACCGATGTGAGAAACGGTCATAATATTAATGGAGTTAATATCTATTTGCAACTATTTGCAATACTATGCGGGGCCTACACACACGAATAAAAATGGTTAATTTATTCTATTTGATTTTTAAGATCTGTCCAAACCGTGTACTAGCGGATTATATAATTTTTGTTCAATATCTAGCCTCCCTTATAATATTCCTATCAATTAATTTGATAAAAAGAGTAACCCGTTTAGTTTTAATCAAAATCCATAGCCAATTATGTGTCTGCCACATAACATAGTTGTTTTGGACTTAACTAACATAGCTTGAAAAGTCCATGTGCTGTATGGCTTTTTACAAAGTCAAAAATAATTAAATACATTAGCTTATAGTTATTTTATCATAGCATTATTATATATAAAGTAGCTACATATACATTTTGTTCAAATATAAAACACTGAAAGTGTAAAGGTATGAATAGAAAGTTTAACGGCAAATCATACATTATGACTGAATTGAATGTTGAATTTATGAAACGTTGTTCAACAGTATTATTTGCATTATTCGCTGCTGCGTTTTCATTTTCCCAATCAGAGCAACATCATGTTAATGAAAAGTGACTACAAAAATTAGTAAATTATGAATTTTAAGGACACTTCACATAATTATAAATATATGTTTGGGGACAAATTAAGTTATTTTATTATTAATAGTATTATTATTATTATTATTATTATTTTTATTATTATTATTATTATTATCATCTGCTTTGCGAGAATGCATGCATGGGCGTTTCTCAGTGAGGGGTTATGTTAAAATCACTCTTCATGTTTTTTTTTTTTTTTTCAATGAGGTTGGCTCTGCCTAATAAACAAAAAACCTCGTGGTCTAGGAACCATGAAAAACAAAGACAACCAAATATAAAAGCAATCAAAATAGTATTCCGTAGATTATAAAGAAATTTACCTTTTTTCATTACATTTAGAATTTTTTAGTGTTATGCCAATTACTTTGTTTCAAGTTGTTAAAGTGCCTGCCACAAACCACCTTAGAAATAGTAGATTTAGGTACCTACATTTGTTCTAAAAGAGGAGAAACTTTTAAAAATAAATAAATGTATTTGAATATTTGAATTTCCAAACAATCTGATGTCAAAGTCGTATTAAAGAGTCTTTGAAATAGGTAAACAGTTTTGTAAACTCACTTCTAACGAGGGTTTAACATCGATGTACTTCGGAAGAGACCTTTGTTGTTTAAATATGAAAATCTGTACTGTGCTAATATTTGATAATTTTGTTTCAGTCTGCTACGTCAGCTACAACTACCCAGCGAGACTTCTGCCCAAGTCCATCCACAACTCTCTCTATGTCACCTCAGAAGCCCAGTGTCGGGCGGAATGTACACGAGCACGCATGCGATCCATATTCCGCTGCGCATCTTTGAGCTACAGGTTAGTGATGGTGTTCAACTTAAGTCTTCAGTCTTGATAGCAGATAAATACCCTTGACTTGCACTCTGAAGAAGACTGCTACGAAATCACTCTGCTCAATTCCATCTTTCGGAGACATTTTTAAATCCAACTAAATACATTTTTATATCCAACTAAATACATTTTTATATAAGTAACATGTACTACGAGTAGTTTCAAATATAATTGCTCATAACAAATCAATGATCACCTCCAAATTAATACTCAACTACCAGCAGAAACTTTAATTTCCATCATCAATCCAACCTCAATAATTTCAGCCCTGAAACTGTTGATAATGTAAACCTAATTAATAATGCTTGAAAAGCTCTAACCCGGCTAGAATCAAATTCATAGTCTTCTTTATGTTGAGGTTCATTCACCATGTAAGAAAGAAATGAAATGAAATGAAATGAAATATTACTTTATTATCACAAAACATTTCACAGATCCAGCGTTAGCTGGTGAAACAGGTGATATTGTCAGAGATCTTAAACACTAAGTTACATAACAAAACTAAAATCCACATAGCTTAAACTAAAATATATTTACTTATCATTTAAATAATCGGAATACTAAGAAGAATACTAAGATACCGCAGGAAAAAATACTGGCTCACTAGAACACAATATGACACAATGAATTGATCAATCTTTATCTCACAAGCAAGTTTCAAAGATATCAGTTTTGAGATTTATCCATAATGAAATAAGTTTGCCAAATAATTCACTTTTTCTACAGTACTTGTAAATTCAGTTAACCACAATTAACTTTAAGTTTAGTATTAGCTATCCTCACTACTATAATTTACCGTAGTCCAGTGTTATTGTAAAAAAGCTTAAGAAAGTGTCAAATGCTTGGAATACCTTAGCGTTAAGGCTTGATATTAATTAAGAAGAGTGGACTTTTCTCTATGCCAGTGCTCACCAAACACGAAAATCTAACCATCTCAGGAGGAAAGAGTCATACTTTAACGACCACCTTATTATCTCTCCCTAACACTTAAAACAACCATCATAATGTTCTATAGAACAATAAGGTTGTTCTATACAACCTTATTAACAACGATCTCTAATATCAACTAACTGTTTTCCTCTATCCAAGTATATGACACAATCAATGACTATGGTTACTAGAGCAGCTAACTCAAACTAGGTACTTACACCTTTTTAGTATTTTGACATTCTCTGCAAGTCTTTTTTTAATGGTTACACGAATTGTCTTAACAGCAGTCCAATTTGATTCTATGTAAAAAATTGTAAAAAAAAAATTATAAATGTCTACAAAATTACAATGTGTGGCAGGTCATATATCAATAGCCTATTTGCAAAACAAAGCCTAAATAAAAAATAGCCAACATATTAAAGCCTAACTATTTAATCAGTTACTAGCCTAGGCCTAGTTAGGCTCAACTAACTAATTTCTACTGTAAATTATGAATAAATAGTATAAACCTTCTGAAATATATTACATTAGTAGGAAAAATGGATAAAAGGAATGGTATTTGTTTAATAAAATTGTATTCTGATCCTCATAACATGTTAAAAATCTGCATTCAAATCATACAACCAAATCGGTGGGTAAAAGCGATCGTTAACGGCAAACAAAAAACCGTGATAAAAACCTAAATAATGATAATACATATTTTTCTGCCGAAATCGTAAATAATGGTAATTTAGAAACATAACCATAAAACATTGCAGACGGAAAGTTAGATTCAAATCAAAAAGGTGGATGACGTCAGAACTCGAGACACCAAAGAGAACTAAAATAAAGAGGTTAGATCAAAGATCGGGAATAGTTTTCAATCATTTTGCAACGAAACTAAAAAAAGGCTGAGAGAAAGCTACATGCAGACAATATATTTGGACTAAACCACGTAAATTTCTAAGCCAATAGGATTACGAGTTGACATTCAAGTCGGTGTAGGTGAACAATTTCTGAAAATTATCTCGTTTTTAACCAAAAAAAAGTAAGTAGAAGCTAGCCATCTTGAATCTGAGGCAATGAAGAAAAGAACTAACGTAACGTACTTCTCTTTCTTCTTGGGATAACGAGTCAAAGGAAGTGGCCATAAAATTATGTTTTCAATTTTAAGAAATTAACAAACTGTTTTTAAACTTTGAAAATGGCATAAATTCTATTAATAAATCAACTACAAGCAAAATAGGCCTACAATTATTAATTATACATTGAAATTAGCGAAGAAGACTGTAAGTAAAATATTTTGAAGATCTGCACGTTGACCAAATTCGCAAGTACATACCAACTTTTACAAATTGAACTAATATAAAAACTTTTGATAACAATCTATTAACCAAAGACTCCACTATAAACTCTATGATACCTTTCCCATATAGTTTAAGTCAGGTGTAGGTTTAACCTCAATTATCCCATCCATAATGTAGATTAATTAATTTTATCATAAACTAGGCTAACTCTATTACCTATTGTATTTAAATTATAACTTGGGCTATGTAAAATTAACTTATTGTAATTGATTCTAAAACAGTAAATAACTCTTTCCGTAATTGATGTTGTAAGTTATCATTTTCACACAGCTCCACCACGCACCCTAATATTTAGATAAAAAAAAAACGACCCTGAGATTAAGACAAATTAGCCTAATTAGATTTGCGTATTTCAACCAAATTTTCTTTCAAAATTAATTTAGGCTAAAAAGAAGATAAATGCAACAAATGCATATGTGTGGGTGTGTGCGTGTGCGTGTGTTTTATATTATTAAAACATTGGTACTGACTTGTTTCAATCCCTAGAATTTCTTATATTCTAGGACATCGTGAGAATTGAAAGAAAATACGGTTTAAAAATGAGCAGCATCAATGTTTGCATCCGAGCCGTAATCAATCTCTAACACGCCATTTGCCATGTTTCCCTCACATATCATACATCATATTTGGTTATTCGGAGGCGTACGTTATACGATGAAAACATATTTTGTGATTTTTTTAAATCTGAAGGCTGTAAATCTTTTACATTACACCATACCTTGTTTCAGGTTTCATTCATCTATCTTCATTAATGTTATGTATTTCGTATTGTGCAAATTGTTATTTAGGCATCTTTTATTTATTAAATAAATCCAATATTGATTACTTACTCTACATTTCCAAACGTTTATATACAATTATTGACTAAAATTTGAGATAATATACAATAACTTTAACGATCGTAGTATTATTATTGTGTTTATATTTGAAGTTCAACGGGTTTAGAATTCAAGAGCAGCGTCGTTAATATACAGGGTATTTTTCGCAACCTAAATTAAAAGTACCATGAGACACATTTTAATGCCAAAACAACCTTATATTTTGGTATCCCTGTTTTCTTTACTTCATTGTTAATCTGGTGATATGCATTGTTGTATAGTTATCTATGAGGTTTAGTGTAACTGGGAATTTATTGTAAATACGACGCAACACGTCGTTTCCCCAACCTCAAAGATTTATAGTAATACGTTGAAAGTAAATAATTGGTTTTATGCCAAGAAGGGTTTGAATAAGTTCCTAGGTGTTTTTCCAGTACCTAATACAGCAACTATCATTGACATATACAAATATATTGAAATATACAAATATAAGGAAACCAAATCCAAATTTGAGGAAAATTAAATCTCTGGTTTTAAGTGTAAATTAAACCAGGCAAATGAAAATTGGCTTAGTCTGATGGTTTTGCTGTGATCGGAGTATTTTCTTTTTACATCAGATTTAGTTTAATTAAATTTGTACTATTAATGACATGTACAAATTTAAGGAAACCGAATTTCAAACCTTTGTTGCCATAAAAACAATGGTGAATTTTCAACATACTAACTATTCGAAATGGGGAAATGCCATGTTTTGTCTTATTTGTAATAAATTCCCAATAACAGTAAACCTCATAGATAGCTATGCAACAACGCATATCAGCTGATCGACAAGGAAGTAGAGATAACAGGGACACTAAAATACAGGGTTGTTTTGTATTTAAAATGTGTCTCACCATAGCCATCTCTAGTATATTACTAGAGACGGCTATGGTCTCACAGTACTTTTATTTTGGGCTGCGCGTTAAAAAAACACCCTGTATAAGGTCTGTAAATAATAACCATTGTTGTTTATTACTAATTTAGTATATTTATAGAAATGTTTTATTGTTCTATGAAATAATGTATGATAAAATAAAAATGGCTTACCGAGCATAATGGTCTTAGGTGAGCATGTATGGATAATGTGACACCTTTAAATGCACTTATTTTAAGAACCCCCAAAGAAAGATAACAAAACACTGTACATTATACCGTGCAATACAAACTATTAGAGGCTGTATGTAATTTTATATGATTTTAATTTGTGAAATGTGTTAGTTTTGATAATAATTTGAATGAAAGCTACAGTAATAAATAAAAACTAATGTCATTCAATCACTAATCAAACTTGGATTCCAATCGAATGGTGGTGTCTATGTAAAATCGATAGGTTCTTTTCACCAATGAAGGTTAAATAATAAAATGAGTTGTAGGCTATAGAAGTTAGTATTATATCAAATAGTAAAAAAAAACGTTTACACTTACTTTTCGAAAGTAAAAAGTTTGGGTTGAGGTATCACTTCAGGGGCTAGGATCAGAATTGATCTAAATAAAAGAGGCTTTCTAGAATATAACGCTCCTAAAGTTGATGGATAGTCAGTTTTACCCATATCAAGATTGTAGGTTTTTCTTCCATAAACAAGTGTTATACGTTTGTAAAAGAAAGTAAACATACTATTGACAGCAGTGTGTAGTTACATAAGGTGATTTTTATTTTGTAGTTGTGATAGTTTTTTTTTCATTATTCACATAGAAACTAAAAAGATATATAGTATGTCTTTCAACCAATAAAAAACCTTTAGGAATTTGTCCGTATGAGGGTGTCTCAGTAGAATTGATCGTTCGAAATAATTAAAACCTTTTTATTCGATCTTACGGTTCGAACCGTGGTGAACTCAAATGAACAAGTTTTTTGTGAAAGTAAATATGTAGGTGAATTCATCAGTTGATAAGTATTTTATTTAACGATGCATATTAAATGGAGAAGAATATTCAAAGATAAGTGGTATAAGTTTAACTAATGGTTAAATGGGTGAATAATGGGTGAATCAGACACCCGTGCACAACGATTTGGACCAACGAGCTTTAACAAACGACCTTTTTATTGAAAATTTGCCATTTAAAATGTTTTTGTGGGTTACAATTTCAATATGTCAGGTTAGGGACGTTTGAGGTCCAAAAAGTAATTAAAAAAAAAAAAAAAAAACACACGTCAATAATCCAAGACATTTTACATATTCTAGAAGGGCGTTTTTGAATGTGAAGGAGTGCGATTTTCGAAAAATGCCAAAGAGTGCCTTGTAGAAAATATAATTCCTAACTGTGAAAATTCATTCAAATCTTAGCTCTTACCGTTTTCGAGGTATAGCTGGTTTTTTAAACGGGGTTTTCTCTAAAAAAGGAGGATTCAAGGGAATTTGGGGGGGGGGGGTTGTAATTTGAAAAAAGAACTTTTTGGAATTTCCTGGGTGATTTGGGACTGAAACGGACCTCCACAAAAAAATTTCAGATCCCAATAGCTATTCTAGAAGTGGGTAAACCTTTTGTATACCTGATCAGTGAGTTACACAAGCGGCTGTTAAAGTATGTGCATAGGTGGTCTGATTCACCCTATAGTCAGTGACATACAAAAGTAGGTATAACTTTTTACTAATTGGTAGTAATAACTGTAGTATAATTAGAAATAAACTTTTACTATTGATAAAATCAGGCATCCAATATATGGCCAGAATAATCTGCAATATATATAGTTTTCAAAATTAAGACGAATCTTGTCATGTTTATGACTGGCATTATTCACTTAGTTTTGCAGTTTATAATTAGTGTTTATTTGTAGGAAGCCACATTCATACAAATAAACACTAATTATAAACTTCAAAACAAAGTGAATAATGTCAAATATGAAAATAAACACAAAAATGCAACTTTGACATATTTGAAGCTCTTGAAGTGTAAAGGTTCTATGCAAATAAAATAAAAATGTCGAATAAATGTTTTTACAATTCTGTTGTATTTTTAAATGTTATATATTTTAAAAACGAGGATAACTCTTTTCATCCATACATAAATTAAAGTAAAAGGCTCCTGACATAGCTCCATAGCTTGAATGTCAAAAGGTATAGCAATTCAAAGATAACTAAGACATTAAAACCGTTGAAAACTGCAACAATACCAATAGAATACGCCATGAACTGAGTCAGGCTATTTGTACTGACTCGGATCTTGGAGTCGTAGAATCTATTTCGTTTGAAGTAGACTACGATAAATGGTGCATACCATGGATCTTCACCCACAACAGTCTCTTCAAAATCATAAGACAAAGAGTTGCAATCTGGCAAACAACTGCAGTCACACGTTCGAAAGCATCTATACAAGCAAATCTCTACAGAACTGTTGTGTCTAGGCAAGTGATACGGGACACAGCCACAGTATGTGAGTGAACAGTTTACAAGACATTCTGTCTCACAGTTCATCTGACTGTAATGTTTAAACATTGACAGTGGCTTTTCATGCGTAAAGTAACACCCTCTAACAGATGGATCAAACTGTTCAAGGCCACTTTCTGAAGTTACAATGTTGGGAAGTATAGATATTTTTTGGGGGGTGGAGTCGTCCATTGTGATATGATTTTTAAAGGTGAAGGGGATTTCTAGTGGATTGTGGATTACAATGTAGCTTTGTATGCTGTCATTAGTCAAGCAATGTTTTGCAGTTTTATTGTGTATGTGTAGGGTATTACTTACACTACTAAACTGAATCACATCATTCTCAGTCGTATATATTGGTGTCGTACTCATGTTTCCTCCAAAATATATCATATTGTCCAAAGTCAAGTGTTTTCCTAAGTAATCAAACCCAGAGGAAGAATACTGTTTCATCGGGAAAGAAGTAACAACATTTTCTTTGTAAATATCCTCGTGGTGGAGACCATTGATAGTAAAACACATACCTAAGGGCGATAACCACTTTTGGCATTCGTTTTCATCGCATCCTGTTTTCCTCTTCCATGTCAAACTATTTATCCGGGAATGGTATATGTAAACCTCATCAAGGCCAAAAAAATGTCCAAGGTAAGATGAAAACTGGTCATACCTAATAGAGCGTCTTCTAAACACTATTTTATTTGCCACAAACTCCGAACAAATCAACAAAGAAACAGCAAAAGCCATCATCTCATCGTCGCTACATTCTTCATTGATTTCACATTCATCGTACTCACACAGGAAACATTTCTCCAGAATCCCTGAGTAGTTGTAGTTGACGTTAAGAGTTGGTGGGTAACAAACAGTTATTGCAGGAAATGGAACATCATTGGCATAAGTTACGTTGCTCGAAAATACTTTAAAAGCGGGCGAGTTTTGCCATCTGTCGTACTCTATCTTGATAAGAGACAAACTTGTTAATAAAGCAAGAATGTGAACGAACAACCACAAGCAAGTATGAAACCAAGACTGGTTCTTCCCTACGAGAAACTTCATGCCTGGTAGACTCAATGACTGAATCAACTCTTGAAAGTATGTGTGTGGGAAACATTTTGTATCATAAAGTGAATGATTACACTCCTGTGTAGAAACCTTACTAGTTTGCTCAACAATGTCATAATTAACTTGCCTTGTAGATTTAGATTCAGCAGGTTTGTGCGACTGCAGGGTTTTTAAGCTCGACAATACTGTTTTCATGGAATCTTCTAGTTGAGTCACATGTCTCATGATCTCTTCGTTAAAATATTTTTGATCTTGGAGAACTTGGAGAACAGATTCTGTTGCGATGTGCATTTGCGGGGAATAGTTACCATCAAGCATTGAATGATCACGCTCCTCAATATGAACCGTTGTAGTTTTGTCAAATACTTCTGATTCAACTTGGCTTGTAGATCCAAGTACTACAGGATTGTGAGACAGCAGGGGTTTTAAGCTTGAATAAACTTTTTTCATGGCATCTTCTTGTTGAATCATCCTTCTCATTATCTCTTCATTTAATGTTTTTTTTTTATCTTGGTTTGCTTCGGATGTTGTTTCGATGTTCATCTTATAAGAAAATAGAGATATTTAAATACAAAATGTATATATTGAATCTCAAATAAACTATAGACGTAGTTGTCTCGTCAACAAACTCGTATTTATAAGCAGAAAGCTTGTTACACTTCGCTGGTACTCTGCACAATATGACCTAGTACATAATTAAGGGTTTTCATTACAACCACGCCTATTTTAATGAATTTTCGATGGTATGACGTGTATGTTTAAACAAATTCCATTACAGCACACATTACATTGCATGTCCACCACATGTTTAATAACAAACTAAGTTAACGGTGACTCATATAAATTTTATTAAATATTTATTAAATTCATTATTAAGTATTTGTTTGAAATTCTAAACAATAATTTTATTTAAGATACGTTCCGTGTTTGAAATGAAGGATTTACTATAAATATTCTTTACATTAAATATACATAAATTTTCCAAGGAAACAAACCCAATAATACCCATGTTACTCTGTATACAGTTTTAGAATATCGATGGATGCAATTGAGATGAGCCACCAACAGAGTCTACTGATGTAATTTACTAATTTCTATCAAATATGCTAACTTTGTAGACAAGCTAAGTTGAAAGTCAATTTATTGTTTAGCATGTTTTATGTTATATTAATTATCAGAGTATTGAAAACTAAAGGAGAAATCCCATTTTGACAGTTAATAAAAAAATGGCAACAGTTGGAATGTCTACTTCAGTATCTTTAGGTTAATTGCATAACTCTGTGATATATTGATTTCATACAGTTATTTCACTTGTGTGTGGCAGGGGTACTACTTGTGAACTGAGTGCTATCGAGCTACGGGATCTCAGACCGGGGTACGACTTTGTACACGACAGGGACTTCTGGCTGTTCTCATGGGACTTCAGCGACGCCCGCTGTTACGTACCTCCTTCAGGAACACCACAACCCCTCCCAGGGGCCATCCCCCCTACCAGTCAGTTCTATACCATAGTGTTAGTGTAAGGCAATGCGTGTAACGCGTAGAGAAACAAGACACCTATCACAGAAGAGTATAAGTAGCTATCACAGGTACAGCCATCTACTATAGTGGTCAAAACACGAAGCACCTATCCTAAAGATCTGCAGTCAGCTCCAAAAAATCCCAAATGATTTTCAACTAAGAGATAATGCTATGCCTCCTTCGGTCATGTCCTCAATTTAAACCAGAGGCTTCGAATCAAGATGGTATGGTTCCCAAGTACCATATAATCATGGATGGTAAGCTACGTTAGCTGGTGATGATTATAACCATATTATCACTTATGATAGGAACGCGACTGGGTGATTTAAACCCAAATATGAAAGAGGGATGAGTGTAGATACGAGCAAGATACTTTGTGTAGACGTGTTGGTTTAAGATCAGCTTTTTCTTTAGTCAGGATCATTTATTAAAAAAACAAAGTACAGTTGGTTCTAGTTTAAACCCATAAATAATCCACCCATAAACGCTATTGACTACTCTTAGAATTAAACCAACAGCCTTCTGATTTATAGGCTGTTATAGAGAAATGATTTCTCATTACATTGTTTACATAACATATGCTCAATTACTATTGTACCTCTACCGAATTACTCAATCCTCTTCCCAATCTTAGACAGAGTCAATGATAGCTTATACGGTATACGATTATTTAATATAATGTGTAGGGGTAAAATGTAAATTAAGTGGTAACATTTTTTGAACTTAAGTCATAAAACCTCGATTTAACTCATCTAGAAATAAGGTATCAGAATGTGATGAAATGTGTGCTCTTACATTTCGTAAGTAAAAAGTTTGGTTTGAAGTATCACCTCAGGGGCTAGCATCAGGATTGATCGTAAACAGAAGAGCCTGTCGAGAATATAACGATATTAATGGAGATGGATCGTTTGTTTGATTCATCACAGAATGAGTTGGCATGTTGTTAGTAATTTGTACAGTTTAATTTAACACTAATTATAATTATATGTATAATTTTAGGATATGACCTACAGGCTTGTATTTTTTAATTTTTTACAATCCGTAATACTATCAAAAAATCATCAAATGGAAGTAGTGACCATAATTAAATTAAACCATAGTTCAACTCTTAGAGAGCACTATTCTACATAGAACATAATTTAGTTGTCATGCAAAACCTTAGAAGTTATACTTGTAATCATCAGGCAAAATAAATTTCAAGTTGACATTTTCTTCACTTATGGGGTTCAGCATAAAAAAGTTTCAAAACTAATTTATTATTTTTAGAAATAACTAATATAAATATGAAATTCCAAGGTTTCACAGGTAAATTACAACTTTTACATATAAATATAAGCAATATAATACTCTGATATTTTTTGACAGAGAAATTTGTTTTGATGTTCTTTGGTCCGGGATCACTTATTGAATATAAAAATGGTATAACATTCCCTGATTCCGTTTGTGATCCTAAATTTGTTGTAGTGAGCAGCCGGTTTTTAAGAACACACATAGACATTAACATTTAAATAAATATAACACGAAACATACTGACAGACGATAAACATAAATTCGGTAACTATAGTTCCACCAGGTGGCTATAGTTCCACACACGACGCGGCACGGTCAGACGTTTTGTCATGACTCAAAGTCATGCCTGATGATGAGGTGTAGCCTTGAAACCGGTTACTTACTACCAAATTTAGGATCACAGACGGAATCAGTTAATTTTATACCATTTTAATATAGATAAATTCGAACTCCTAACCTTTTACTTATATTAGTTATTTCTAAATCCCAACATAGCCATGCGGCCTAGCAATTTACGCAAATTACGATCAGTAAGAAATTCCTTTCGTAATTTAATATCTCCTGGTCATGCATGCAAGTGGAAAACGTTCTACAGAGTAGCTTAAAAATCTTTTTATGTATGAAATAAGACATGCTATTCCTATGTGAAAGCTATAGCCAGTTTTAGAATGAAAATCAACGAAGTTGAATAGAGCCTCGGTCAGAGTCTGCATGTAGATTACATATTTCTGTCGACTTTGCCAACTTTTCGATCGACCAAGCAAAAAACCCCAGAAAAACTGAAAGGGCAGATCATTATAATATATAACATTTTTTCAACATAAACTATCATAGTAACAAAAACCCTACACAAGGGAGAAAATAGCACTGTATACTAGCACACCATGTGGCTCTTACAACTACTTTCTTGATTTTGTAAGATTTTATACAGAATTACACAGATGTAACCGATTCATATAAAAATGTAGTATGTTTTCAATAAGTCGATGTTTCATAATTAGAGGCAAAGTTCAATATTTCTTATTATATGTGTAGGTGAAACGTGGCAAAGATTCACCGTTAGCGGACGACCCTGTAGAGCGGGCACAGTGTGCTCTATGAACTTCGAGGTGGGCATCTGGACGTGCCCAGTGGACGACGTGGGAGACTGGGACTACTGCTGTAGGTCTGGGCATCACTGTGGCTACTCCGAGGGCTACAGCTACCCTTGGTATGCCACTTGTGTAGAACGTATTGTTGGATTAGAAATAATTTTATGTATTTGCATGGTGGCGAGTCGGTGACCCACTCGGAAGTGACACATACTACGAATCCACGACAGCATTGTCGTGGGCTCACGTCCTGGTACTGACACTAATATTTATCAGAACAATCCATTTTTATATTGTACTGGCTGCTTTACTTTTACTTGTAGCCTATTTCAGTCAGTCAAAGTACTTTACGAAAACAGAACTAAACAAAAGGTTAAATCAAGTATGTGATAGTTTATTTTACTCTGAGAGTTAAAGTAAGGTTTGTAGGCTCAATATTGGGGTTTGGGCTAGAATCGAAGCCGAGAACACAGAAGATCAAATAGTGTTTCTTATTACGCTATTAAAATATCAATAACAATAAACATCTTTGGATATCTCTAAATTTTAATAAAAACACTAGCCGATGAAATAACTTCAACAATGTTTTCAATAATTTGTTGTCAAGAATTTCAACACCAAAACTGTAATGTACCGGGTTTTTCAAAATGAATAGCTGGGTTTTAACGCTTTATAACTTTTATACTATTAATCTTACCACCATAAAATACGCATCATATGAAAAAGCAACTTAAAGAGCTTATGCCTTCCAAAGACACATTATTTAACAAAATCGATCCAGCAGAACTGTAGATTTAATTGTACAAAGTTAAAAAGTAATCTCCAACTTTTTTCATCACTATAAATTCGGAGGTTGCTTGATGTTTTTGCAAATAACTTTTAAATGGTGAGGAAGTCGACCAGAGTGGAAGGTAATATTCCGAAAGAGAATATAATTGCCTACAATCTACTATTATGCAATTTTTGAAAATACTCAAGAAAGGTACTAAAAATTGCCTCAAAATGAAAAAGTTGAAAATCCCCGTCTTCAATGAAGACAATAATAAACATAGCAAACATTAAATTTCACACTTTTTTATTTTAAGCCAAATTTAGGCAACATTTATTGAGTATTTTCAATACAATAAAATATACAGTTCTGCTGGATCAATTTTGTTAAATGATGTGTCTTTGGAAGGCATAAACTCTTTGAGCTGCTTTTTCATTTGATGCATATTGAATAAAAAAGTTTGTTTTGTCAAGCAAAGACAAACCAAAGAGAACAAAATCGAAGTTATCAATAATTAATTTGTGACTAAAACTAATTAAATACGGTTTTGTGGTGGTAGTTGTGTAAATTCAACTATGACTAATCTTTCGCCCTCTAATCAGTAGGACACTGCCCACCCAAAAAAGAAACGTTAAACACCGATGTAGCCAAAAAAGTATATATCTACAGTAGAAGTTTATTAAACGTTTTTAGAATCATATATATTTTGTTCATGAAGACTTATTTTTCTTACTTGAAATAATATATAATTCTTTTGATACATTTTACAAATTTATTTTAAATTTCGTTTTATGTTTACAGTAATTGCTTCACTTGTTTGATAACACTTTGTTTTGAACTATTCATTCTCTAGAATAAATCATGTTAAGTTTAAAAAAAAAAAAATAGCTACTTTAAATTACGTAATAGGTATGCACAAACAAAACAAAGCATGTTCACAAATGGCTTGTCACGGTAATATGGTTTGGGAATGCAGAACATTCCTAATTTAATTAACGTTTCCAGCTTCAGATCACATGTTTACATAGCACGAGACTTAATCTGCTTAGGGCATGTGTTCACCGTTAATCCGATCATGTCAAATCACTGAGGCATTTAAGTATTAGCATTAACATTAACAGTAACACTCGCGTTGGTTACTATTCCAAACGCAGCTCGGTAACACATGTTCATAACTTGTACCATCAATCAGTATTATGGAAGGCTGGATTTGGAAGTTGATGGAATAGTTACTCGCTTAACATCACAGCTGTTTCCTAAATTGATTCTCATTTTCATACACTTTTATCCTATAATACATTCAACATACATCGGGAAATGTCCAGTGAATTTCAACAAGAATGTTTGTTGATATTTTTTCTATGGATGATATATCATAAGGTACGAGTAGTCAACAGATTTTCTTATTTTATGCTAATTATTGTGTTTAATTTCTCCTTAACATTATAACTTTAATTGAAGGGAACAAATTCACATAATATAATTTTTTAAGTGAAATAAAGTAAATATGAGTTTGCATCAAATCATCAGCAATATTCGCAGTATGGGCAGAAGGGAAGTGGAGGAGTGTTTGTATAAAAAATTGTATTTTTATGCAAACAGTTACATTTACGAATTAAACATGATTCTTTTTTATAAGGAAGCTAGTGAGAGACTAATGGTGGCAATTCTCACTGTAATTAAATATATAAACAGTTAGTGCAAAATATATATTTCATTGTATACATAATTATTGTATTTTTATATGAATTAATCATTAGATAGTTGTGGTTCATGTCTAGTTCTAAACAGCATATGTATATTTGGTGAATTGATATTTCGCTTGAAAAAAATTGCGCATTTGCTAAACGCTTCAATGGTGTGCGAAAGATATGTTTACTGCAGTATTTAATAAGCACGTTAATCTATAAAAGGAGGAAAATAAAAACCCACCAAAAGAAGAACTATGCTATTTACCAAAAAAGTAATTAACTGGACAATAGGTAAAGCCAGGAAAGAAAGGTTATATAACAGTTACACTTAAATGCATCTGATCTGAATTATGTTAAACATAGGCATATGATGAAAGATTAAGTGTTTAAACCAAATTAATAATCAGCTGATTTCTTACTCTTTTACACCGTAAAAATGCTTCTTTCGATTATCAATAATTAAATTACGTTCCAAAAACAGCTGATTAGTGATTATAACCTAGTGTCGTGAAATGTAACTTTCATGTAAAGCTCAAAATATGGGAGCTTGATTACATTGTATTTTAAACACATCCAATTGAAATCTATGGCAATCATGGACTTACAAAGCATCTTTTATTGTTGATAGGTGCTACGTAGGCAGTGCTGACAAAGACCAATGGAGACCATGTAGCGATCACTACTACCCCTACGTTGGGGAGGACCGTCCCATGCACTGGCCAGTCGCCTACCTACATAGGGAGGGCCCTCCCAACGGTACCTTCCAACCGTCCCATACTGGCACTCCCAGACCTTCCCTCGTGGATGCCTTCCTCCAGACCATCAACAACCACCTAAACCCTCAGCAGAACACTTCTTCACCTGACTTCCAGGTATTATCATCAGCTCTACCAGAGTTATGTGTTTGGTAACACTTACTTTCGTACTTATTATTGAAAATACAAACATAGATGACTGTGCATGTCTGCATTTTATAGCATACATAGAAAACTATTAATTTGGCTTTTATTTAATCTCTACTTGATCTAGGTTTTTATTATAATGTAGTGTTAAATTGCAAACATCGCGAACGTAAGTCTATTTCGCCAATTCATATAGTTAATTATTCTAAAGGGTTGACTTAGGTAGTAAAAAGGCAATTGTTTGGTCCAACCTATTTCAAGGAATGTAAAAATTGCCACTTCTGTTTACAAATAAAATAAAAAACAATGCCCAAAGTAAAGACACTACTTAATTAAAGGTGTATTAAGGTAGATTCACACACATCAGTCACAGCTCGTCACAGAAAAGTCACTGCAAGCACGTCACAGTTTACAAAAATATTCCTTATTAGATTTATTATTGCGCTATTTACACTCATTCGTCGCAGTTCCGTCAGTCGCTCTGCAGGCGTCCGTCAGTCAATTTAAGAATTCTTTTCACCGATATTTTTGGATTGTTCGGACGCCTGACGGACGTGTTTGAGGTTAGAAAATAGTACTATTTTTATTTTAAAAATCTATTTTATAATTTAAGTAATGTTTGTAACAATCAACAAGACGTATGATGAAAATTTGATAGAATATTGTGTTTTAATTCAACACTTTTTTACTGTAACAAAACTGTAAATTAAGTGACGGAAGGATAACTGAAACCAAATGACTGACAGTTGGACTGAGAAATTGCGGATGCAACTGTGACTGGACTGTAACTGGTCGGTGATGGAACTGTGCTGTAACTGATATGTGTGAATCGACCTTTAACCCCATTGATTTTGGTTGTTATTAACTGTCTATCGTTGTTATTAAATGTTATTGTATGTCTATCGTTACAGGTAGTAGATCTGAAAACAGAACCACCACCCAACAATGTAAACGGCAGTGCAATGACGAAGCTATGGACTTGGGGCCAATCAAAATTTAACTCCACATTGACTACCGTAGACGTCAACAACGGTACTTCCAACAGCAACTCCACGTCAAGCAGTTGAGCAGCCAAGGTCAACCACCGTCAACATCAACAACATCAACATCACAACATCAAACGTCAACCGAGGGATTTGCCATACTCCTATAGCTCTTCCTGACAAGATGTTCGATGATGGTGTTATTTGATAAGTAACGAATATAAGATATGTCAATAGGTCTCAATTGTGTTTTCGCACTGAGAAAATGAACTGATGCTTTTGTGTTAGAAGAACGTATCAACCCAAGATGATTATGGGAGTGAAGGCGGTAAAAGGACATTGATCTCTTTTGTATTCAATTACTTTTAGGTATATAGAGGTAACTTTTTATTCCAAAGGGAGGCAAATCACGCTTTTTATTCATCATTTCATTATGAACACGAGTATGGTTATCAAACCTAATTGCTTATTTTACCAAGCATTTCGTAGGCCTTCCCAAAACTAAAGATAGTCTATGCTGATTATGTTTCAATTCAGCAAACTATTGTCAAAACGTAATTAAAGTGTTTTCAATGCTAGTGAAATTTTACAGGTAACCGATGTTTTATAGTAGTTTTCAAAACAATATAGGTCATGGTAAAAAATATAAAACATGAAATATACTTTTGATGAGTTGATGAGGCGAATCATCTAAACACCCTCATAAATAAAAGTTGCAAGTGTGATAATATTACATTTTTAATAAATACTATGAACACTGTTTAGAATATAGTATATTTGTATATTATTTATTTGTTATATTTGTATTTAATTTATGTTTGTAAAACAATTGTTTAGCTCAAGTGTGATTGAAATGGTGTATTATTGTTATGAACCCATGTGCAATATTTTTGTACGAGTACAGTATATCCTTCGTTCGGACAATGCATTTGCAAAGAAGTAAGACAGACAATGTACATTTTACATTTTAATAGAATAAAAATACATTTTTCAGCCCGTCGTCTCTTTTTCATTTCTGCCTGTGATAATTAATATGTAGTTTGAATTAGTATGAAGCTTTTTTATTTTAAGCAAGGTTTAGATTGTTTAATAAATAGGGAAGTGGTTTAGTGACCATTTGTATTTCTATGCAAAAACTGCAATCATACATTCTTTTAAGATATATTTACAGCCGCCTTTTAGCAAATTTCTCTATAGGGAAGTAGCTATTATCGTAGGTGGCATGGCAAGACCTAGGCCCGAGACCGATTTACTTTTTCATTTTGATATCCCCAGAGGCCAAAAACACCAGTCGTTCAAATTTTAATATATGTACACTATGTGTTTTTGTACTGTTATTGGTAACGGAGAAAATTAAAAAAAAAATTAAATTTAAAATTGCCATGTTATTCTCATGGAGAATATTGTAATATTTTGTAGTTTGTTCGTTTATAGATATATTTTGACCAATCTTGGTAAATTTATTTATTTTATACCAAGCTATTAATATTTCACTAAAAATACACTTTATTAGCCTCCCTCCCTAACTGACAGCAAACCCCCCTTTTAGTAGCAGCAAACTAAAGTACTTATTCAACCTAATGCTATTTAAATGGATTTGATTGAAAACCCATTCAGACGAATAGAAATTCGTTTAGTCAGCAGGTTAGCTGGGGCGGGGGTATTTTGTATGTATTACTGCAGAAGAGTGTATCTACTCTTTACAGTTGTACAAGACTTTTATTCAGGACCCATAGTCAAATCAAGTTAAAATTAAATACATTATTACTTAACATCAGCAAACGCAATAATATTACATTCAATTACAACCAAAGCCAGAACAAACAATAAACGAATCGTGTAATGTTTCAGTGACCTTAATCATATTACTCCATCCATGGTTTTAATAGACCTAGGCTGGTTTCCTTTAATACAAATGTAATATGTATTGGCAAACTGTTTTTTCTGGTGAATCCATATTGAGCATTATCTAACTACATCAAGATGCCCCCTTGAACATATACAGGGTGGGGCAATGAAAGCGCCCTAATTTATAAACAGTACAAACTCAATAATATTCACCCTATGGATATAAATAGCACACCAAAATACAGCTTATCTTTTGCCATTTTAACTTAACAACGTAATTTTTCCATTTCTTGAGAACAAAATCCTACAAGTGACATCATTGTCCTACTTGACATTCCTTTTTAGCCACTTGAAACTTCATCAAATACTCCTCCAGCACTTCTTCAGGAATCACTTTAGTTTTTGGACTATCCTTAGCTTCGGTTCAAGCAAATCTGTGGGGTGACTTTGAAAAACCTAGAACGTCAAGTAGCTTATTAGAACAACCCCCCCCCCTAAAAAAAAATTTGCCAACGTAAAGCTTTCAACAACAAAAGCTTTCTGGCAAATCTCTTCGGACTTTGAGTTACTTGGACTCATATTCTTTTAACATTTGCTGGTGTACAAAGAGTTTTGCGGCACCCACCGATTATTTTTGTTTTGTTTAAGCGATTATCCTAAATAATTTTACCCAGTTCAACATTGTTTTCCAATCTGGAACAGCACCATGTTGACCAAGGATGGAATACGGTCCATACAATATCTGGGTTTTTGCACAAGAACCACTATTTTATAAATATGTTTCCACATCAAAATCTCAGTGTTAATAGCCTCAGGCATAATATTTATTAAAATGGTATAGTTTAATTGATGTTTTAAGCACAGCTGATCATTCATTGTTGCAACAATTATCATGTGACAGGTAAAACAAATTGTAGGGTTCTGATTGCCTCACCCTTTACTAATATATTTCGCATGGTCTTGTTTTATAATTAACTCCCATGGAAAATACATATCTGTATTATTTTTAGCAGAAGATAACAATTCTTATACAATTTATGATAAATTAAAGGGTACAACTCTGTAAGGAGTGTCCCTTTTGCGTGTTGCATGTGCGAATCTTATGTGATTTGGTGTCACATATTTAGGAAAAAGAAAGCTGTAACATTCTTCACTTTAGTGGTCAAAGACTTTTAGGATTACTACCCATATATTTAGAAATATAGCTTAATTATTAATTAAATTGAATATTAATTAAAAAAATATACCATTCAGTACCATCCCTCCAAATATGATGAAGATGCATTTCCTCTTTTAGGTTTTTTTTTTAACAAATATGCCTTTTGATAAATAAAACAGTATGTTCACAAGACATGTTATGCAATATATTTAATTCAATTTAATTTCTCATTAATATTGTGTAGTCATGATATTTAATTTAATTAGATTTCAGTTATTATAACCGATATCTAAAACAGAATAAGTAAAAAAATGATACCATCAGGGAAATTTAAATACAATTTAAGAAGTAAGATCCAAAGGTAAAGTGTGACCAACAAAGACAAGCAGACATTTACTTAGGATCGTCGAAATGCTGATTGAACAACGAATCCATGTTCGAACGGGTAAAGGTTTTTCAGTTTAGTGTCGATTTAGTCTGGTGTAAATAAGCCAGTGAATTGCCTTGTGGATTTTTAAAGAGCGAGATCCAATGGCCGTTTCTATACAGCAATCTCCCTTCAAGTTTCTGTGTTTCGAATATAAATAAAACAATAATGGTAAAAATGTGAATTAGTTGGCAGTTCTATGAGCTATTATTAGGTACTATACAATTTGTCAGGAGCAAGCTGACCTAGTGGTAGTGCACGGGTCTTCGGTACCCATGGTGCCCGGTTCAATTCCCGCGAATCACTAAAGGTTTTTGATTTTAGCTGTGTCATAATACCACCACCCTTCAGGCCTAGCGTGATGTAATGTTTAAAATGTTAACCGGGCTATAGCCTAGCGTCCTAATATATGAAGGTTCGACATTAAAACTCTATACAGTTTGTAAACCATTACTTATTTGTATTTAGTGTTATAATATATATTGCGGGGATTTTTTGAAAGTTTATTTCTGAAAATTTAAAGCATATATTTAAGGTTTATTTTGAAGACAGCGGACGTCAAAAACCTTGGGTTATTTTAGTAGGAGCCCTAATTTACATACTTTTTAAATTAGTTGATTAGATTTGGCTTTACTTGCGACTGAGGAGCGGAATATGGTGTTAAACATTATTTACCGTTACACAGGATGAACCACAGTTTCTGATTTGTAATAATATACATTTTTACTTTATAAATTAATAGATAACGTACATTTTAGGTTAAAAAATCGAATTCGCCATGTTTTACTTGCATCCTAAACAAATTCCATTAGATGTATTTAATTTTTAAAATATATTTTTCAAATACACTTAAAAAAATTAAGGGGATACTTTACATCCGTTACTGTAAACATTTAGATCACGTGGTTTTTTCCTAGTTTCACTTGGAATAAGTTCACAGTAAATGAAAATTTACAATACGATCCAAATTTGGTCCCTGCTTTGGTTTATTTGAATTTAATGTGTAAAACTAAACACAACAATTTGCAAACTTTATGAAGATATATCCACCAACAGGCAAAATTTATTAATTACCGTTTAGGATAGCAAGGAAAACATAGTAATGCGTGTATAGCTTTTAATAATTAATGGAATGTTTATTGAACATTAATACTACAAACAAACATTTTAGTTTTGAAGATGTTTAGAAGAAAAATACATGTTTTAAATAATTTATTTTTTAACAATAACTCCCGAATTTTGATTTAAACTGTTAGTAACCTTCCTGATAATTCCCCATCTCATTGCTTGTTAAATTAAATACTTTAAATAGAACTTAAGATGTATTGTACATTTTATTATCTATTTTCGATCAAGATATCATTATTGTGGACTCTAAAACGAAATTTTACTTTGGCCCCGGAGCCAGGTGTTAACATAAAGATTACGGTAATAGTCCTTAGCAAAGTTTGTTAAAAGAAAAGTTATCCATTTGAATGTGATTATACAAGCACAGTTCGGCTTAATTATATAAAAGTTGGGGTCGACAGTGTGCGGACCAGACAACTTTGTCAATTCAACTTCAGTATTCGCTGCGGGCATTCCCCGCTAGGTCACTACACAACACAGGATAGCATGTTATCTGGTTGAAAACTAAACAACAAAATATCATGTTTCATCTACAATGCTTGTTTTGGTCAAGTAATACAATTTTTAAGAAGATTTGTTATTTCATGCGTTATCATAATATGTGTAGTATAGAAAACAGATAAGTTTATATTAAATTTTTGTCTTTTTGAATAAAAATTGAAAAATATTAAATGTAGATTTTTATGTAAACTTTCTTTAAATTACAGAAGGCTCTTAGTATATTACGTTTATGTAAGAATGTAAAAACAATTAATATTTAACAAACACACACTGTAATTGTATTAAAAAAATTTGAAACCCAAAAAGACGAGGAAAATGTTGCTATCCAAACTATTCAGGTAGGTAATAGTTTGATATATGAAATATTATCGAATACAAATTTGATATAAACAAACATAAGCTTAGTTTGACCATGTTTAATAAATGTTGGGTGTTAACCCCCTGTGCACTATACACATATGATTCCTTAATAAAAACCTAAGTTATCTTTTAGAAATTTCATGGGACGTAACTTTTATATTGAATTTCACCGCCAGAAGATCCGAAGTTATGATTAACTTATTGATTTCTCAACATGCTTGTCTTCTTGTTGTTATGCATTGTTAGTACAAAATACTTTCAAAACTGAGTGACTAACGCTCTCTGTAAAATCCTGAAAAGCAAGCAAATTTCCAATTGGTAACGTCTAATGTAGATCACAGGTTGTAAAATAAATTTAGAACATCCTGCTGAATTCAATAGACATAATTATCATATGTTTTTTATCTAATATGTGGAAACAGATGTTTTCCAGATGTCTAACTTTAGCACATTGATTTAAATTATATCTGAAACTATAGGCTACGGTAACTGTTTTGAGTGTCTTAGCAATATTT